CCATCCAACTGAAATAGTTCAAATGCATCATGACAGTTTTCAGCTTTCCAAATTCTGAATTTTCATCCGACAGATCATGCAAAGAATATGCATCATGTTTATGGAAATAATCTGAAATGAAAGAATTAAACATTTTCAAATAACCTGAAGATTCGTCTGATGCGTTTTTGGGTTCATACATATTGCATTATCTCAAATGGACTGGTTACTTTGTGAAACAACAATGACGACTTAAACAACTTTGTGTTTTACGACGAAATATAGTGAATAATCACGCTTTTAGAGTACAGGGGAATCATTAACGCTATTCTTAGATTAGAATTAAGTATTTGAAAAATACAATTTGTCAAATTGGTGGTATTGTGATGCACAGATTGCATGTGACCAACCTTGCAACTTTTTTAGGATTCAAATGTACTAAGTGATTATATTTCACATAAATACTGTTTACGTTATGGGCCTTCACTATGTTGATAAAAAAAGGTGTCAAGTAAATATTGAACACATACACACACGCATATGAATGATCAATTTTCAGATAAAGGGTAGTGTTAAGATTAGTATGGCTATCGCACTTAAATACATTTGAAGTTCGTCGTGTGCTTCTTTAATATATATTGATAGTATCGTTCACAAAATTTGAGGAAATACATCAGAAAGTAGGACAAGTGATATCATCTTATTCCAGGCCTTTCATGACCTACTCCGTGGATAGGGGACTTTTATGAAGAACAACTGGAAGAAAAAATCAGGTAATCACTTTAACACGTCACCAGGCTCTGGGCAACAATAAACACCACCACAAAGAATGGATAACTATTAATACACTGAATAAGACTCAAGAAAGGAGGAAGAAGAAAGCAGCAATCAATGCCGGCTGAACAAGAGCAGAGAAAGACAAAGCTGAAGCTGAATACACACAAGTTAACAAGCAGGTGAAGAAAAGCATTAGAATCAACAAACATCAATACGTGGAGTATCTGTCAATGACGGCGGAAAAGGCTGCAATAGAAAATACTTGAAATAATCGTCTGACTTACCAAAGAAAATCGCTGGAAATTATGGAAAACCAGAACGAACCGTGAAAAACTAGGAGGTCAAAGTAATAACCAACATCGAAGTACAGCCAACACTTCAAAGAAGTCGTGAATCGACTAGCTTCACTGAACACACACGATATCGAAGTGGCATCCGCGGACCTCCTAATGAATGTCGAACAACCAACAATCGGAGAGATCAATGTGGTCGTCAATGTAGTAAGTGTTACGTTCAAGCTTTTGCTTGTTCCCGTTATTGAAGTACGGTTCATCGATCTATTTGCAATTTACGAACGCAAAGTAACAATGGAAGCAAACACCAATTTAGGCACCAAAGTTTATTCATGATTTAGAAATAGTCTGCCCAAATGTTCTCCAACTTCGTACGTTGATCGTGTGTAAGCCTGACAAATGAGCTGGCGTTGTAATACCTTATCGTCATGAATATTTTGATAACATGAAGTTAATCCTGTAGGATAATACTAAAGTGTGCACTACTTAAGGAGAACTAGACAGTATATTGCAAGTTGAATAAGGGACAAACAATGTTGTTTAAAGTCCTAAGAATTTTAAGATAAAAACGACAGACCTGATTGATCACAGACGTTCAATGCGTTTGACGTGGTGCCTCGTATGTCCAGTTCAGTTTTTACAATGAAATGTATGTGCACTCCGATGGTGTTGCGATGGGGTTTTCATTGTAGCCAGCTTGAGCCGATTATGAAGTGTTAAATTGTACAGGTTTATAAGTGGAATCAGATTGTGAAATAATTATTAATTAGAATAAATATGGTCAACCTGGTATGAGATTTAGTCAGAGAATAATGCAATTCCAAATAGGAAATTGTGTCATATGAAGAGTAATATAACTTTATGGACGGGTGAACATCATTGAATCGCTCAAATGTTTCTATCAAGCCTTTATAACCATTACAAAGTATAAACGTGTCGTTCATGTATCGGCAGAAATAGGAAAACTAGTCAAACTGTTGCGCCAATTGACCATTTTGTAGTTTAGATGGAAAAATGTCAGTGAGTTCTTCAATAGCCTCCTTGTGACTTTTTCGCTTAAAATACTTCAGTAAATAAATCAACCATAATTACACTGATAGCAACATTTCAACCATATTGTTACAGACACGTTGTCTTTGTTCAAACTACGTAACCTAATACTACAGTCTGCTAACCGATGTTATTAAAAAATCCTAAACGTTTTGGATTAATAATTTTAAAGCTAATTGATCGCATCCGTCCAGTGGGTTTTATGTGATAAATTTAGTGTCCAGTGCGGTTTTAACTGAGAAATATATAGGAAAGGAGATGAGTTTGTAATAAGGTCTCAATTGAGTCTAGTTTAAGCCGATTATGAAGTGTCAACTTGAATCAGATTATAAGTGAAATCAAATTATGAAATAAATAATGATCAGAATAAATATAGTGAACATGGCGTAGGGGAGAGACAGAGGGTGAATAGTGTAATTATTTAGCCACTTGCTAACGCCTGTAACCCTCAATATTTTATAGGCCGCTAACCACTCTGCCTTGAACTATCTTTTACAGTTCTTTCCAATTCTCGTTCGTTCTTCTCATGTCTGTCTCCATTTCTCGGCGCGATGTGTTCTTTCGTTATGTAGGATAATATGAATTTGATAGACGGGTGAACGTCACTGAATCGCCCAAGTGAGTCTATCAAGCCAGTATGGTCATTACAAATGATAAACGTATCCTCCATATTTCGCCAGTAAATTGAGAACCTGTCAATTGCTTGTGAAATTAGATCCTTTCAAATTTTAGAGGGAAAAGTGTCTGCAAATATGAGACCATAATGTGAACAAATCGCGACACAATCCATTTGCTTCGAGACAATAAGCGATGATAATATGACCTATAAACCCTACATTTTTGAAATCCATTCAATTGAAATAATCCGAGTTCATCATCACAGTGTTCATCATTGGTAAACATAATCAATCATCTAATAGATCAAGGAGTCAATGTGCTTCATGTTGAGACGACACTTTGTATCATCCGTAATAAAAGAATTAAATATTTTCAGATTATTCGAAGATTCATGTGGTGTGTTTCTCACTTTATACGTATCGCACCATCTCAAGCGAGCTGTTTAGTTTGAGAAACAACAATAATGTCTGTAACGGATACGATCGTTTCCTTAAGATGTTTTGAATGATAACTCTGATTAGACAACGACTAATTAACACTATTTCCATCTGTTTTCTACAAACAGAATTAGGATTTTGATGAATACATCTAGTCAAACGGACGGTGACGTGATACAGAGATAAAATGTCCGAATTAAAATGTACCAGATGATCAGATTTACCATAAACACAGTTTACTTCACTGTTCTTCACTACATTGGTTTTCATTACTGGTTTGTCTGAATTTTAACTGATGGTATCTCTATTCCGATTTATGTATTTCAACTTCATCCACACTGAAATCCAATGAGAATCGTCTAGATGAAATAGCTATTTGCATTGCTTACAATGAAGGAAGTGTGCATGTTTAAATCTGTTCAACACACACATTAGTGGTTACAAATCGATTAGTCTATAATTACAGAAAACTGTAATCACATATGAAAGAATTTCATTTACTATAGAGTGATGCCGTTAGCAAAGTGCATGTTTCATCAGCTATTATAAACATTGCGAATTGTGTAATTGAACTCGTGTCATAATCCAAAGGCTAATGGAATTCCAACGTTCCCATATCCAGAAACTGAGTACGCAATAGTCAGCGGAGTGGTTCCAATACTATTGTTGTATATGTTAACTAGTTATTTCATTATATATATGCAAGTGAAAGACTACAACGGATCACGTTGAGTCCAAATGAGTATGCCATCATTATTTACATTTTGGTGGAGTGTTAACTACCATCTGAACTTGAGGTAATTTAACGTCGGTTATATATTTACTCTGAAGAAGTGACTTACATTAGGTCACAAACCGTCAGAAATACTATCCACCTGCTCATTGGGATATGACAAATAATATACGTATTATCAAACCTCTATAAAGTGCTTAATTTATTTGAAACTATCGAGTCCACCATTGGTATTTGTACCTCACACCTATTGAGGTTACATGTTTCCCTGCTGTCACTTCCCCTTTACACCATTCGATGTCATGATTTATTCAGAAATCTTTATCATAATTGAAAATAGAGCTGGTGACTCTAATATAATATAGCAACGAGTAATTCTCACACCAATCCAATACACACTTTAGTGATCATGAATTACCCATCAGTCAGTCAATACGCGATAATACCTTGTGCATACCTTAATGCGTTGCATTCGGATTAGAATCTTGGACGCCTCCATGTGAACCCTACTCATCAATCTGTGCAAACAAAACTGTTCAGTTCATCCTCATTTGTAAATCTTAACGTTGATTGTCACAATATTCCGAATTGAATGGCGGCGTCCCCGCAAACCGTTGGATATCAGATAAGAATTCTAGAGGTTAGTCGCTCTACACAACATCTGATGGTCAAATGTACAACCATCGGTTAGGTATCCGATGCACTCTGATGAGTCACATCATTGAACAAAACAGCAGTCCAACTCTTTCTCATTTTGAGTAAATAATTAACTTAGGTCAGTCTGTGATGAAAAGTACAAGAAAGTAACGATTGCTTTCTTTAATATACTTGGATTACATCACGATTTTATATTTCTCTTTATTTGAAAACCGATCAATCATCTGCTTGTGTGTGCGTGTGTGTAACTGGTGAACTCATGTTAGTTTGATACAATTTCGTAAGCATGTCCTGCATTAATGTCACACATGTGCACTGAATGTGATCAGCTGATCTTTGTATCACACTCTTAACAACCATTAAGAGACTGATCGTATTTGTGATAATCTGATTGGTTGAAACTCATAATCTCTTTGTGAAATAAAAATATAAAAGCGAACGAGTATGTGATCTTTCGAAGACACAACATATTCAACATCAAGGGTAAGTTATTCAAATGTTCATCAGTTTAGTTAATGTAACACTGAAATTTGTGTCCAAATTTGTGTATAATTTTTCAGTTACAGAGACAGTTGAATATAACAAATCGTTGTGGTCATTAAGTCGTACAGGCTTTGTGATATAAAAGTCATCATTATTTAGTGGAGTGCACTACAGGGAGTGGATTATGGTAGTGTAACTTTGAGGGACGACCGAAGTTGTAATTGTGAACTTCAGAGTCCAAATTCGTAATCTAATTAGAAAGGACTTGACACAGAGAGAAGGTCAGCAATAGTGTACGTGGCGACAATCAATCGAAATGGTATGATTTGGCATTGCGAACTTGGTCAATCTTCACAACCATTTCTTCATTTCTTCATGAAATATAACCATCAGTGCCGTACTCAGTTGTGTTTAACTTTAGGATAGTTTACTAGAGTTTTAGTAAGAAACACTGCCAAATTTTTAAGATTTCATGAGTGGTGCTGTGGTGTTCAACATTTCACTCAGTTTCACTAATTCTGTAGCAGATTGTGAAGTGATGAACAGCAAACAGATAAAAACGTAGTATTGAAATACTGAAACAGATAAGTGTTTATCATAATTTACAGTAGGGAGCTCAGTATCCATTATATACCCCATACGACGGTCACGAACTGAAGAACCACGATGGCGATCGAACGCTGTTATGTTATTGATACAACGACACTGATTAGCAGGTATCATTTCCAAGCTGTGATTTGATCATTTCAAATAAATTGAGCATTGAGTAGATTGTTACTAATAAATAATATCTTGGTAATATCACGATGAGTAGAAAAATGGAGGTCATCTGACACTTAGTGTAAGCCAGTCCATCAGAGAATGAATAACTGAATTAAAATTGATCGAAGTTTAAATAGCACTTGGGTTCATTTTAATTCGGTTATTTGTTCTTTGAAGAAGTGGCTTACACTGAGCGTCAGAATATCTAATTTTTATACTCATTGGGATATTACAAATATATTATATATTTGTGACATTGAAAAGTGTTTATCATAACTTGCAGTATGACACTCATTGCTCATCAACGATCCCACGCGTATGACTTGGTCGCTGATTCGTTATCCAACAGTATCAGTGTTTAACTTTAATAAGTCTACGATATTGTAGGACCATCTCACACCATACTGATAACACACTTTCCATTGAACTTCAATTATAAGATCATTTTACATTACAGATAAATAGCGTAACTGAATTCTAATTTGTTTCAACTCAGAATGGCCATTGAAAATATCTCCGTTATCATGGCAATATTTACAACTCTATTACTCAATACTTGCAAATCTGTGAGGGAAAATTCATTAAAAACCACCATCACACGGCGTGATGATTTGGCCAATCGAACTCTCCTCAACTTCACTGATTCTAACACCATTGCGTTTGAAAAGTGGATTGAGGTATCAGATGGAGGGAGATCTAAGGCTACACTAGTAAAACTTAAAGGACAGGTAAATTTTATTTATATATATAATTCAGCCAACATCACGTTTAGAATTATCAATCAGGTATATTATTCTATCTTCTCACTCCACTAAAAAATGGATCAAGCTTTGCTGGAGTTCACTGGATAGTGAATGATATTGTTTTGCCATTATATGACGGTGTGATAATTGACGTACATAGACAGGGTCCACATTCTCATTTCAGATTGTTCTATGGCGAATGTTCGGACACAAGGAATTGTGTATCATGTGAATCATTTTTCAAGGTAATGTGATATTTAATTGTATAGAACAATTCAATATCTTCTTTTTGAAATTTCTATAGACGTCTGGAGAACGAGAACAAGTGAAAATACCATTCCGTAATTTTTCATCGTATCCTCATGTAGCATCACAATGTAATTCAAAGTTCTCAGGATTAACCCAGAAGTCACATATCGGTATAAAAGTTTATGGAGGAAGCAATGAGCCGGAAAACCAATGTGGTCCAGGTTCCATTGAAATATTCACCATTTCAGCATATAAGGAAAGTCAAATGCTATCTTAAAGAAATCAAGCTCATAGGAATTTCAGACTATTTGGTGTGTAATACTTATTGATTTTGTGATCGTGTTTAGTTTGTAATAAGTAGCTTTATCAATAAATATCATACGTCTACCTGGGAGTTTTGAATGTTTCACGGGTTTCTTGAAATTCATATAAACATCAGTGATGGCAAGCCTTGATGAGAATCAGGCATGTGAATGAACACGTATTCAAATGATTGAAAACATTTATTCGTTGGTTAATCATGGACCTTCAGGTGTATAACACACATCAAAAAATGGTTTAATTCCGGGCTTCCATATGAATGTTAAATTTCAAAAACTTGAACTTCAGTGAAAGAAATTCTTTTCCACGAACTTATTATCAAGCTGTACAGTCGTATATGGATATGAAAATCATTTGTTGTAGTAAACGTTCCATGAGAATATATGAACTGGGAATAATCATGATTACGTGATCGATTGACTGCAATATGGAATCACATAATGCAAATATAAACAACAAACTTGAAGCGGTGGTATCGAATAACAATACGAATGTAGTTAAATTATTGTAATATTGTTATCAGTTTAAGTATAATAAATTTAACTACATACGTGTGTTAATTAAAAACACAAGGAGGCCATCAATGAAATCAATGAAGACGAGAATTTGATAATCGCGGTAACCGAATATAGAACTGCAAGTTTTCAACTTAATGAATTTTATTTCATTGACAAGATGAGAAACATCTTGAATGACTATCATAATCTTTAGAAACTGGGTTACCCATTCAGGTAGCCTTCCTATGTTTCTTCCTAATGACCCGTCGTTTCGTCTTGTAACGTCTAGAAAAGCTATTCTACCTCTATTTTGTTTCTCACATGTGAACTCTATGGACGAAAGAAATTCATTTAATCGCTCAAATGCTTCTATCGAAACAGTATGCTTATTACAAAGCATGAACGTATCGTCCATAAATAGGCAACAAAAAGAAAATTTGTCAGTCTTTTGTGTCAGTGGACCGTATATATTAGTAATAATTCACTGATGATATCAACAGAGTTAAACGTCTCTATTTCCAGTCCTGTATGTTGTTCACAATAGTAGTATACAGTCTCTTTGAATAGGATATTTGTGAACAATCACTTTACACCTGAGTGGCATCGTTTGTAATTTAGTGTTTATGAGTTTGCAGAATGAGTCCTTCATACTAGGCTTCATTACGTATTTCTGGAGTGGTTTTGAAATGTTTACTGATCACTATGCTACCTAATGGGTACTTATCTGACTAACTGTCTTGTGTATGTTTGGTGGACCCACCAGATGATTTGTGGGCTATATCTGTCATCCGATCAATTCATTTTCGTTCTCATTCTTGTAAACGTTTTTTAGGCCATGTTTTGAAAGTCATGATGATCTTTCAAGTTGTAAATCATATTGCAAATATAGTCACTTTGTTCCTCTTATTTTATCAGGTTTTGTGTTAATCTTACTTACTTACGTCCGTTACTCCTAATGGAGCATAGGCCGTCGACCAGCATTCTCCAACTAACTCTGTCCTGAGCCTTCGTTTCTAGTTCCATCCAATTCTTGTTCATTTTTCTCATGTCTGTTTCCATTTCCCGGCGTAACGTGTTCTTTGGTCTTCCTCTTTTCCCTTGGCCTTGAGGATTCCATGTGAGGGCTTGTCTTGTGACGCATTTGCATCAGATCCACCGTGTTCATCAATGGTGCTGCTTAAATATGTGAAGGTTTCTACATCTTCCAAATCGTCTCCGTCAAATTTGATTGGATTGATGCATGCTGTGTTGTATCGGAGAATCTTGCTTTTCCCCTTGTGTAAATTGAAACCTAATGCTGCTGAGGCTGCTGCTACACTTTTCGTCTTCTCCTGCATTTGATGTTACGTTTGGGATAGAAGGGCCAGATCGTCTGCGAAGTCTAGATCATCCAACAGCATCTTAGATGTTCATTGTTTCCCGTGTGTCCCTTCAGACGTTGACGTCTTCATGATCCAGTCGATCACCAAAAGAAAGAGAAAGGGTGAGAAAAAGCAACCTTGCCTAAAACCGGTCTTCACTTCGAACGACTTTATCAACTGTCCTCCATGCACGATTTTGCAGTGTAATCCATCATAGGAATTCCATATGATATTGGTTGTCTTCTGAGGCACGCCGTAGTGTCGAAGAAGCTTCCAGAGTGTTGTTCTGTCCACGCTATCAAATGCCTTTTCCTAGTCAATGGAGTTGATGTAGAGTGATGAATTCCATTCAGTTGATTGTTCCACAATGTCCCGTAGAGTTGCGATTTGGTCTGTACACGATCTACCCCTACGGAATCCTGCCTGTTGGTCATGAAGTTGGGCGTCTACGCGGTCCTTCATCCTGTTTAACAACACCCTGTTCGAGACGTCTCCTGATATTGAGAGGAGAGTGATGCTCAGTACTGTCTTGAATTTGTTGAGTTTGTCAGTGTCCTGAAGAAAGGCCGCATTGAACTTTTGTGATGTTGTCCGCCCCATTTTTCAGTGCTTCTGCAGTTTCAATTTCATCTTGGCGATCAGCAAGTGATGGTCTGATGCTATATTAGCTCTTCTCTTGGTTCTCACGTCCTCTATAGTCCTCCTGAACGTTTTGTTGATGCAAATACGGTCGATTTGGTTTTGTGTTGAGTGATCCGGTGAAGTCCATGTGGTTTTGTGTATGCATTTATATGGGAATATAGTGCTGCCTATGACCAGTTTATAGAAGGCACATAGGTTTGCAAATCTCTCACCATTTTCGTTCCTTTCTCCCAGTCCGTGTTGTCCCATGATGTCTTCATATCCAGTGTTGTCCGTTCCAACCTTGGCATTGAAATCTCCCATCAGAATGGTCAGGTCCTTTGTTAGGCACTTCTCGACTATTGACTGCAGCCTATCGTAGAATTGATATTTAGCGTCTTCATTGCATTCGTTGGTGAGCGCATAGTATTGGATGATGTTCGTTGAAATGCCCTCTTTCTTGGTTTTGAAGGAGGCTTTGATGATCCTTGGTCCACGAGATTCCCATCCTATAAGTGCGTCTTGCGATTGTTTGGACAGCATCAATGCAACTCCTTGTGTATGTGGGGCATTTTCTTCTTCATAATCGGAGTATAACAGGAGCTCTCCTGAAGTGAGTCGTTGTTGTCCAACTTGCGTCCAATGTGTTTCACTGATCTCAAGCACCTCTAGGTTGTATCTCCTCATTTCTGTGGCAATTTGGAATGCTCTCCCGGTGTCCCCCATTGTACGAGCATTCCATGTACCTAAATAAATGGTCACTCTGGTTGTCAGAAGGGGCATCGGCCTCGTAACTTCCGAAGGAATTCGGATTTCATCATGAGGCGTCGTAGTTCTTCTAAATGAAGACCTTCTGAATCCCAGGGCAGAGTTTAAAAGGTTTGAATACGTTTTTCTGGTTAGCGTTTTTTTAGCGAGTTAGTTTTCTGCGGGATGGGGTCGCCAACCTCATGCCCAATCCTCCTCCTTTATCTGGGCTTTGGACCGGCAGTAGCCCTCGGAGGGACACCAGGCGGAGTTTTGTACTAATCTACTTCCCATCATTAAAGCTTTCGTAGATATCTCCTTTGTGTTTCTAATTCAAACGTCTTCTTTCGTTATTACTACTTTTCTTAAACTGATAGCAGCATTATGTTCATCTTACTACATTCACGTTGTGATTCGTTGTTAACTTTCAGGTTTTTTGTTATTATTCGTATAACGTCGAAAACTGTCATCCTAAAACTCGCTAAAAATGCAACCATTAAGTGACCTGGTACAATGATCTACCAAGTGCATTATGAGGATTAGTTCATATGTTGTCATGGAACTATTACTACAACAAAGCTTTTCGTTGCTGTTCAAGATCGTACAACTTGATAATAAATCTTTTACTCTATTTAGCTTTTAGCTGGTTTCAACAATGGAATGATCACTTCATTAGACTTATTCCATTAAAGTTAAGGAGAATGATGATATTTTATTGTACATCTCATACGTGAAAGATTTCCGAGTAGCTATCGATGAACACAAAATCTATTTCGCATCTTCTTAAATAGTGAAAAAATGCTCTGTTGACGTCAACATCTCCAATTGGTAATAAGCGTTCTCGGAACTGGCAGACAATTTATAAATATCCACGAGCTCCCTCGCGAAATTCGAACCCAGGACATTCGTGATCCAGCGCGAACACTTAACCTACTGGACCAATGAACCGGCCCACAATGATGTTAATGTTTCACCTCAACCGATACACAAAGTTGCGTGACCATCTTCCATAGTACTGAGGTTGGCACTTGTTTCTAGCCGAAACACTGTATCAGAAGACACATCGTTGCGCACCCAGTATCATGCACCAGAAGACACAATCCGCCCTCAGAGAGATAGCCTAACATATAGACATTTAAGTAGGCATCCAAACGTGTTAATGTCGAACTTTGATTAGATCAACTATACTGTGCAAATTTCATCCATTTCCTGAGCAGGATAACTGTCCCACACCTCGCGTGATTGCATTCCATGTGTCACGGTTTCCCACTACAACTACAAATATTACATATTGAAGCTAGTTACTAGTGAGAACACGGTGATCATACGTTAGGCTCTCAGATGTGAAGACGAGCACTTACAAAGATCAGGAATTATGTACTTGGATAAAACGGCTTCGGAGTGCTTCCAGATATTTAACGATGGTCTAGCTAATATCCTTCCATGATCTCAATTATAAAAACGTCATCAGTTGACGTGACTTCCATTGGTTTCCATAGTTTGGTTAGTGTAACTAGAATAACACTGTTTATTCTTGGTTGCCGACTGACATTAACTGATCTGGGTTGGTTGCCACGGCATGTGTGAACGTGATGGAAGTTGGAGCCAGTGCAGAGTTATGAGTGTGCACTGGTGACCGTGAGAGTATTTGTGGTAGTTCAACAATTCAGTCAGTTTAGCTGAAAGAGCCCTGTATATATTCAAGACGATTGCCTATGTGATATGAAGCAATTTCGATTGCAATATTAGTTGCAGCTTCACAAATTGTGGTTTGGCATTGCTCATTCATTTATTTGGTTTCAGTACTGATGCGTGTTGTAACTGTGGATGTCAACAAAATCAATAGCTCTTTACGTCCTCGAAATTTGGCGCTGACCACAGTAGCTGAGGGCACTCATTCACGCATCCGCACTAGATCACGAGTGAGTACGCTGTGCTCAACATCTGCAACCGCTAGGCATCCTAGGTCAGTCACTTCTCGATATGTCGATAGCCTATCAAATTCATAACATACATACAGTTAAACTACAAAACAAGCATTGAATCAATTCCAATGA